TAGCTGGGACCACAGGCGCCCGCCACAACGCCTGGCTATTTTTTGGTTGCAGCCATCATTGTTGTTTTGGCGGGTCCGGGCTGGGGATTCGAACCCACCACGTTAGGTGTACGTGGCTGGCGCCTTAGCCGGTTGAGCTATAGGCGCCGAGCCAACACCCAGCTATTTTTAAAGACAGGGTCTCGCTCTTGCTCAGGCTGGTCTCAAACTCCCAAGCTCGGGCAGTCCATCCATCTCAGCCTCTCAGAGTGCTGGAATTACAAGCATGAGCCATGGTGCCCAGTCTGAGAAAGACTTTCAAGGGGGAGACAAATATTATTAGAGAGATAAATAAGCCATTGTACCCATAAAATAAGAATGAATGATGTTCAAATTAAGGGGGGAAAGACAAGGATAAATGAGGTTACAACCAAGAGCTCTTGGAAATTAAAAACAGGATAATTGTGGCATAGACTAATAGTTGCTACCTTAACTCCTATTCTTCCTTAAAAGAAAAAAAAAACCATAGTTTTATGTGAAGTAGCAATATGACCGGCTTTAAGAAAAAACACTTTCTAGCCTCCCTCTTGGCTTATTGTAATCACATGACTAAAATTCTAACCCATGAAATACGAAAATCATGGGATGGACTTTGGGGAAGGTTCCCCCACATGACTCCGTCTGGAGGTTCACCCTTTGCCTTTCTTCCCTCTCTTTTCTGTATTCCCTGGACTATGAATGGAATGGCAGGCTCCAGCAGCCACAGCTTGGACCAGGGAACAACATGCCAAGGATGAGAAAGAGAACGAGAGAAGGAGAAGGGGGGCACTTGGACCATGGAGCTGTCACAGCAGCCCTGGACTGCCCACCTCTGCCTCCCTCAGTAGGACCTGGATTAAGCCACTATTATTTTATAATTTTGTTATTCAGAATCAAGCTTAATCATGACTGATAGAACAACCAACATTAAAAAAAAATCAGGCTAAGGCATGGATAGCCTGAGCTCACAAGTTCAAGACCAGCATGAAAGAGCAAGAGTGAGACCCTGTCTCTAAAAATAGGTGGGCATTGTGGCAGTAGCCCGTAATCCCAGCTGCTTAGAAGGCTGAGGCAAGAGACTCGCTTGAGCCCAAGAATTTGAGGTTGCTGTGAGCTATGATGCCATGGCACTCTACTGAGGGCAACAGAGATAGTCTATATCTTGAAAGAATAAAAAATTATAAAATAAAAAGATAAAATTAACTATATATAACAGAGAAAATGATAATAACTCAGCAGACTCCTGAATATAATGTTTTAAAATAAATATCAAACAAAATTAACAAGGATTTTAAACCCAGCTATAACCAAGTCATGGCAACTAGATAGGAGAGGCAACCAATGGTCATCCAAACTGGGAGTCCCCAGTGTGATTCCGAAGCACTCACCTTCTCCACTCGGCTCAGACTGGTTACCCAGCTTAGGGACACGTTGTTCTCCATATGTCCCCTCAGGTTGAATCCCTTTACTCCTAGAAGTCTGCTCATTCCAGGAGGACTCCTGTCCCTCCTGGGAGGCAGTGGGTAATCTGTCAGAGCTCTCAGTAGGGAAGGTATCAGGGGATTGGAGGTCCAGGAGAAAACTATCTTGCAGGGTTTGCTTGGTGGCCTTCTTGTGTTTCCTCTTCTGTCTCTCTGGGATCCTGCCACCCTCTCCTTGCCTGGGCTGGCTATTCTCAAGCTTCCTGGTTAGCTGGAGGAGCTGGTCCATGTCCTTGGTGAATTCTAGCAGCGTGCCCTCCAAGACACTTTGGGCAGGGCCCTCAGAACCATAGCTGGGCGTTCTCCCCACGAGCAGGCGTTCAGAGCAGTGGAGAGCTTCTGGGTCTTCCCTGAGCGCTGGCTTAGGCCCCTGGGGGATCCTGCAGGGACCCATGGACAGAGAGAAATAAGAGTAGTCCACAGCGACGTAAGTCAGCATGAAGTTGATGGTGACGATGGGGGCCAGAACATTCACCTGACCCACCAGAAGAAAGGCCATGGTCACCAAGCTGGTCAAGCAGATGGCAGCTATCGGTGTTTTATTTGGCCCTTTCTGCAGAAACAAAAATAAAATGTAGGACTATAAAATTTCAGATAGAAAGTTGGAGAAATTTCAGAAGTTATACGAGAAACACAACTCATAATGAGTCAGACATTTCTTATCATGTAACCGCTTATCTAGAAACTTGGGATAATAACATCCAGCTCATGGAAATATAGTGAGATCAGAACTAAATGCATGTAAAATGCTTAACACAGCATTAGGTACTGTGGGCCCCTAAAGCCCTGCAGGCATTAGTCATATTCTTAACTATTAACACGGTGCGTTATCATAGAACTTGTACTTCCTAAGTATTTTCCCCTTTTGTCTTTCTTTGGGTTTTAACACCAGCCCAGGAAATCAAAGAGATACAAAGCTGATTCTTCCCAGGAGTAGCAGATCACAGAAGACATGACTGAATAATTGGTGGCTGGAGGAAGGGAATTCTGCTACCAGCCATGCACACACAAGCGCTCATGCACACTCATTACACACCCCTGTGATCGCTGCAGGTGGGCATGTGACCTTCAGAGGCACAGGAATGGAAGAAAGGGGCTAACTGCCACTCCTGGGAACTATTCATCACAGTCACCCAACATTGTCCTTGAATAATAATCACTTAGTCCCCGTCTTCTTTGACCCATGAACTACAGTTGACCCAGCTGGCCGGACTACATTTGAAAGCCCTTCTTCACCTCACTTCTCCCCACCTGCCTCCCTCCCCGGACTCTGTCGCTTCCTGGCTCCTCACGTCTCTAACTCTATATCTACAGCATCCCTGGCTCCTCCTCAGACCAATTCTCTATTCATGCTCCTGCCCTAGGTGACTGCAAGCTGGCTCATGGCTTTAAATACCAGCCTTCTGCTGACAAGGCCCACATTTGAATCTCCAGCCTAAAACATTCCCCTAAATCTGGGCTTAAATATCCAGCTGCCAAATCAACATGTCCAGTTGCTAATAGGATCTCAGCCAAATATATCCAAACTCTAACTGCTGGTCCCCCTCCCCTCAAAGCTACTCCCTCCGTAGTTTTCTCTGTCTCAAAAAATGGCAACACCATCCTCCCAGCTGGTCAGCCAAGCAGAAGTCTCCATGCCTCTTCTCTGTCGCTTCCTCTACCAGCAAACGCTGCCAGCCTCAGGATACACACAGAGCCTGACCACTGCGCTCATCTCCCTGTAAGTGAGGGCAGGCATGTAGGCCACTTCCAGATCTGGCCCACACACGTGTCCCTCTAGGTACAGCCAGGACCAGGATCGGGACAGCAGCAGCCATGGAAACCACAGGTCAGAGATAGCAGAGTCATCATCAGCCCAAGTCTTTGAGGTTCAGAGCTCCCCATGACCTGAAATGCCTTCCCCAGAACTTCAGAGTAGAAGTCTTTAAAAAATAAAAGTAGGTAGGGCACCAGCCCCATATACCAAGCCCTTCTTCACTAAGGGTGGCGAGTTTGAACCCAGCCCTGTCCAAACTGCAACAAAAAATAGCCGGGCGTTGTGGGGGGCGCCTGTAGTCCCAGCCACTCGAGAGGCTGAGGCGAGAGAATCGCCTAAGCCCAGAAGTTGGAGGTTGTTATGAGCTGTGACGCCCTAGCACTCTACTGAGGGTGATAAAGTGAGACTCTGTCTCAAAAAAAAAATAAATAGGTAAATAAATAAAATTTAAAAAGAGTAAAACTACACTTTGTGTTTGAGGATTAAATTTTCAAGTATGTTTGTTATAGCTGCTTAGCAGACTCTAACAACTAAACTACCATGAATAAGGTGAATCTCAGAAACTAAAAAAAAATTTAAAAGAAGAGTTTAGGTCAGTGAAAGAGATCACTAGGGGTCCTCCGGCCGGAGATTCTGATAAGTGGGTTGTGAAGCGCTGAGATGCTAAACCAGGGCAACGCAAACTTCTCTTCACCAAGAAAAACCAAAAAAAGAGAAAAAAAGCCAGGCCACAAATGGGTTGTTATTGCAACACATATAACTGGCAACGGGTGCCCAGAATATACAAAGAATTCCTATAAAATAACTGGAAAAAGACAGACAACCCACTTATAAAAATGAGTAAAAGATTTAACAAACACTTTACAAAAGAATGTCTATTAAGCATATGAAAAGATGCCCAGCATCACTAGTAATGAGAGAAGCATAATTGTTTTTCATTTTTTTAAAATAGACTTTATTGGCTGGGTGAGGTAGCTCATGCTTGTATTCCTGACACTCTGGGATGAGGCAGGAGGAGCACTTGAGCTCAGGAGACCAAGACCAGCCTGAGCAAGAGCAAGACCCTGTCTCGACTAGAAAATAGAAAAATTAGCTGATTATTGTGGCAGGCACATAGTCCCAGCTACACAGGAGGCTGAGGCCGGAGGATTAGTTGAGCCCAGGAGTTTGAGGTTGCTGTGAGCTAGGCTGAGGCCATGGCGCTCTAACTTGGGCAACAAAGTAACACTCTTTCTAAAAAAAAAAAAATTATATATATGTGTGTGTATATAAACACTTTATTTTTTAGAGGAGGTTTAGGTTTACAGAAAAACTGTCCAGAAAGTATAGACAGAGAAATAGAAATCAAAACTTCAGTGAGATGCTATTAAACAGACTGAAAAAAAAATCTAAAAATCTGATATCACATATTGGCAAAAATAATGAGAAACAGGAATTCTTACGCACTGCCGATAGCAGGGTAAATTAGCATCACTACTTTGGAAAAGAGTTTGATGTTATCTAGGCAGTGAAGATGCAGTCCTCACAATTGAGCAGCTCCTCTAAGGGGCGCCCAGTCTGGAGGAACTCTGCATGTGCCCGGGACACCGGCACAACAATGTCAGCCCATGATCTATAAAAGTCCCCAGTAATAAACAAGCTCCTGCTATAAGCATAAACCTCATACACATGATGTTGAGTGAAAAAAGCATGCCGTAAAAGAATATGTACATATGACTTCATATATTTAAATTCAAATGCAGGCAAAATTAAACTATTTTGCTTAGAGATACATAAATAAGGAGCAGGCCAGGGGTTGCAAACTATAGCTCCCAGTCAAATCTGACACGGGCTAAGAATGCTTTTACATTTTTAAACAGTTGAGTGAAAAAAAAATCAAAGAAGAATCTGATGACGCATGGAATTTACACAAAATTCAAATTTGTGTCTATAAATAAAGTATTATATTAGGTATTGTCTGTGGCTACTTTTGAGCTACAACAGCAGAGCTGAGTAGTTGTGATAGAGACCATATGCCTAAAATAGTCACTACCTGACTCTTTTTGGAAAAAGTTTGCCAACCACTGAGTAAAACCAACCATAAAGAAAGCAAGGAAAGTACAAACATAGAGATCAGGCTAGTGGCTCAGAGACTGAGTGGGAAGGGCCTCAAAGAGGAGGGCAGCATGTGGAGGGGGCATGGGGGCTTAGGTCACCAGGGTGTTCACTCGTAGTTTCCTTTAAAAGTCTCCACATTTGTTTTATGTCCTCTTCTGAATATTGAATATATCCCAAAAAAGTTTCTTTAAGTTTTTTTTTTAAGTGTCTTCTCTTCCCCCATTAAAAAAGAAAATGAGCTGAGGAGACTTAATTGTACATAAAGAAGCTTTGAAAAATGAGTTCCCAAAGTTAAAGGACAGATGACAAACTAGGACAAATGTCTGTAACACACATACACAGAGTTAGTCTTCCTAACAGAAAAAGAGTGTAGTCTAGCAATTGAGAAGAAAATAACCCACAATCACAGAAAGAACTACAAGTAGCCCTTAAGGAAAAGGTGTTCAACTTCATTCATGGTTAAGAGTAATGCAATCCCCAGTATCCCCCCAAACGCCACTTCCCACTGTACCAGTGGCAACAATTCACATTTGTACTTACTATAAGTACATATTAGTGGTATATATTTTTGGATACATGTGATGTGTTGACAATTTTTAAAAGTCAAATCAGGGTAATTAGGGAATACATTGTCTCAGGCATTGTTCATTTCTATGGGTTAGGAACCAATTCTAGGGCTCCAATTCTACATTTTTGGTTATTTTAAAGTATACCATAACTTGTCGATTATAGTCACTGGGCAGCAATTCATATTGGATGGGCTCCTTGCTAACACCGGGTTTATTTCTCGGAGTAAAAGTGCAAATGGGTTATAAACCAAGTTAACAACCTGTTAAATCAAATGTGTTCTGGACTCCCTTCTTGGCAAATACCCCTTCATGATGATGAGGAAGTCCAAGTTCCAGTTTAGAATTCTTATACTTCTCACTCAGACTTCCTTACTGAAAGATGACCATGTGCAGCCTCCCGCTCAGAGCCCACTTCCCTTCTCTTCCCAGACCAGACCATGGAGCACCTCACACTCCTACGTCGTAGGCCAGCCTGCTCTCTGGTTCTAGAAAGGAACAGGCCCTTGCAGACACTGGGTGGGGGGTGGGAGATGATCTGAGCAAGGAATTCCAGGGTACAGGATACCCAGTGCATGGTCTAGGAGAGGGCATGTACGTTTGGCTTCACAAACTTCTTACACCCAAGAGCCAAAGCAGTCTTGTAAAGCAGAATCTTTTGATTTGAGTCTAAGAGTGGTATTGGCTGTGGGAAAACAAGCACCCTTATTCATTGCAGGTTAAAGTACAGAATGATGCAAATCTTACAGAAGGTGCTTTGGCAATATCCACTAAAATTAAAAATGCAGTTTCCATTTCCCACTTCTAAAAACTTATCCAGTAGCTGTATCTTACCACACATATCCAAAAATGTATACACACACACATACACACAAGATTATTCATTGCAGCATTGTTTACTAGAAGGCACACAAGTGTCAATCTCTAGGGGACCAATTAAATAAATGACGGTACATCCACACAATGGAAAAAGAACGAGAAAGTTCTCTCCATGATCAAATGAAATGACAGGTTTCTAAGTTATATGAAATGAAAAGAATCAAGGTAAGAACATGTATAGTCAATACTATCTTTTGCATAAAAATGAGAAAGAGAAGGATTCATTAAAAAAAAAAAAAAAGGCTTGGCACCCATAGCACAGTAGTTATAGTGCCAGCCTCATACACCGAGGATGGCAGGTTCGAACCTGGCCCTGGCCAGCTAAACAACAATGACAACTGCAACAAAAAATAGCTGAGCATTCTGGCAGGCACCTGTGGTCCCAGTTACTTAGGAGGCTGAGGCAAGAGAATCGCTCAAGCCTAAGAGTTTGAGGTTGCTGTGAGCTGTGACACCACAGCACTCTACTGAGGGCAACATAGTGAGACTCTGTCAAAAAGAAAAACAAAAAACTAATAAAAACAGGTACTGAAGGGGCAGGGTTGGGGTGGACAAAAGGTTGAAAGACTCATGATAGAAGCAAAAATTTATTATATTATTTTTATCTTTGAACCCTGTGCACATGTTAGCCAATCAAAAATGAAAGAAATGGAAGAAAGAAAAAAAAAAAGGCAACACAGCACATGGAAGGTAGAGACATGACAGTCATGCTCCTCCCTGGCCGCGCTCGCTGAGGATAAGAAGCATGATTTGCATCTACATGAGCCCTAGACAATAGGGAGGCTGGAAACCAGAAATGGGTCATGGAGGGCACCCTTGTGCCCCCCAAAGGACAAAAGAAATTATGGCTTGCAGACCACATTATTAGGAAGTGGGGTCCTCCGTTTAGTTTTCTTCTGTCATCCCCTAGGTTTTAGGAGTGTCTCTTTCCATCATTCCAGCCATGACTCAACCAAGCTACACGGTGTCAGTTAAGGTTTGGCTCACGATGGTTAACAGGGAGCCCAGAAGCCAGAGGTGTGGGAAATCACCAAACAGGACCTTCAAAGGGAAGAGGATCCCTCGAGGGCAGAGCTAGAGCTGCAAGAACCAGCTCCTCTCCTAACCAAGATAATCTTTCTTGTATGCTAAGCCTGGAGGATCCTAAAGTCATGTTTATTAAAGAGTGGGTACCTCTGTTTCCCTGCCACTCAGAGGCCAAGACGTTCCCATGGCTGGATGGCTAACCTAGTGCCATGGGCTGGGTGGCCATGATTTTGAAGATGCTTCATCCAGTTGGCCCCAGCCTAAGCCAACCAGAGAAGAGGGTGAAAGAAACGACCGCTGTGTTCTTTATCCCAACCCAGAGAACTTGACCAGAGGTTCTAATCAGAAAAATGTAAGCAATTTATGGGCCAACAATTGGGTTAGTGGCAAAAGGTGTTTCTCAAAATAAAAAAGGTGGGGTCACTTACCCCTTTCCCCAGACAGGCAAGTGCAGGGATCACTTTCTCCTGGGCAATGCACTGCAGGATCCGGGGTGCTCCGTAGAGACCACCCATGCAGGAGGCCAGGGAGGAGATGTACAAGCCCAAAAGGAACAGGAAGCCCACAAGGGACACCTATTGAGAGAGCAGCTCATTACTCAGGGCCAGAACCTGCTCTGCTCCTTTCTGCACCCCAGCACCACGGCTAACCATGCACTGAGGCCTACAGGGCCAATCTCTGGGACACAGTTCCCATATCCTCAGCCTCACCCTTCTTCATCCCACTATTTCAGTTGACTCCACCATCTCATCTCATGTGAACTACACAGAGGTCCTCAAACGGAGCCTGCACCGGGGCTTTGTTAAAACAGATTTCAGGGGTTTCTGGTGCCGTAGGTTTGGAGCAGAGGTTGGGAATTTGGATTTCCAACAGGTTCCCAGGAGATGTTGACACTGGTGGTCTGGGGCCTACACTTTTTTTTTTTGGAATAGAGTCTTACTTGGTCACCCTTGGCAGAGTGCCATGGCATCTTAGTTCACAGCAACCTCAAACTCTTGGGCTCAAGCAATCCTCTTGCCTCAGCCTCCCAGGTAGCTAGAACTACAGGCACCCACCACAGCACCTGGCTATTTTTTAGAGACAGGGGTCTCTCTCTGGCTCAGGCTGGTCTCAAACTTGTGAGCTCGGGCAATCCACCCACCTCGGCCTCCCAACTGCTAGGATTACAGGTGTGAGCCACCACACCAAGCCTGGGGCCTACTCTCTCTCTCTCCTTTTTTTATTTTTCCTGGGGCCTACTCTTTGCAAACAAATTGCCAACTATTAACACAACACTAATTAGCCTCTTGCCTCTTAAGTTCTCCCACTCTGAATCTAACACCCCTGAAGCCTCTGCCGGAGTGAACTCTCTAAACGCAAATCTCACCATAACGCCCCTGTTGCAAACATATTAAAAGCTCCCCACTGGCCTGACATACAAAGCCCTTCCTAGTCTGTGATCTCTTTTCGCCTTGCACCTTGCACACTGAGAGCCTTTGATCAGCTTGATTTCTCTGCCTGCTCAACCCTCTGTCCACACCCCCTAATCTACTCCATGTCTGCTGAGCTCTTAATTGTGCTTCAGGACTCAGCACAAACCTCACCTCCTCCTATGGAGGTGACCACGGTGAGCACACCTCAACGTGATGTTAGGATGGCACCTGTCATGCTGTCTCCTCCACTAATCTGGAGTCTTCATTTAGGCAGATGTTCTATCTAGAACTCTTAATGTCCAACACAAATATAAACGCTGAAGGAATGAATGAGATCCGTGGCCCACAAGGCCCATCAGGCCCAACAGATAGAATGAGAGGGTACAGCTGTTCTTAGTGTCAACTAGCCAGCCCGCAGCTGTGTGCCCAGCTGTCAGTCATGAATCTACCTCCTGCCCCAGAGCCAGACTCCTCTGCATCCACAGGGCAGCCTCTCTCTTTCTAGATTATCTAAGGTGCCCTGTCCATTCTACTTCACTTGAGGCACTGTGGCCAGAATTCTGCATTCCAAGTGCTCATTTGTCTACAGAATATAGACAGGTTAGAACTAATTTTCAACTTTGTCACTTACACCCTTCCTGGTGAAGGCCTTCCTCACCCCCATTTTTTGCTTCTTTGCTTCAGCAATGCACCAGATCCGTATCATCAAATCACACTGAACACAAGCCACTGGCGACACCTCTTTCCTGGCTCATAAATTACACTGGAATAATTTGACTGATGAATCCTGTAGTAGTCAGGGTTCTGGACCAGAAGAATCTTTTTTTTTTTTTTTAAGAATGTATTTGTAGGACACTGCAAGTTCACAGAATCATCAGGAGGCTATAAGATCAGGATCCAAACCTGGAGACACACCCAGACCCTTCAACAGGGACAGCTTGGCCAGATGGCACCAGCACCCCTCTTCCCTGTGGACGAATTCTTGCCATCTCCTTATCTTTGCTTCATTCACTGTAATTTGAGCGTACAACGGCCTAACTAAGTCCCATACCCTACCAGGGCTGCAAAGCAATCGGCCAGAGAGGTCTGATCCACTGGGCTTCGGCAATACTTACAACTTGGGGTACTCACTCTCTTCAAAACCTCCCAAGTGGTCAGGGAGGTTGGAGGCTTGGTGGGCAAGACTAAGGTCCACCACAGGGCTCATCTTGTCCTCTATTTGTGTAGGTTACTCTTCCCCTAATGCCTTAGCTCACTCTTACGCCAGTGAATCTCACTTGTCTCTTCTCTTCAAAGTCGTAAGTTTTGGGGGTTTGTCCTGCCCCTCCATCTTTCACTTACCATTTTATTACTACAAGAATCAATATCTTCTAGTATTTCCCATCACTTTGTGTGTCCTGATGGCATTTTGTTATTTTCTATCTGCAGGATAGTTAATTATGCTCATGACTTATCTTGCCAGCACTGCAAGAACTCCTTAAGGGTTGATCTCTACGTGTCAGGTGCCTTTAGCCCCCTCCCCACACCCTGGCATCTGACCCAGAGTCTGGCAAACAGCTCAGCAGTTGAAATAATGAAGCTTCTCGACTTTATTGTCATTTGCATCCTAGATGTCTGCCCAAACTGGTCTCATTAGCAATGCTCGATCCATTCTGAGATGTAGAAGGCAACTTTTGGACCTATCTTCTCTACCAAATGCATCCTATGTTGACTGGTTTTTAAAAAAATAGACTCCATGATGAAATTTTGTCAAAAGCTTTCTGAAAATGTAACTCAGTAGTTCTCTACCTTGGCTAAACATAAGAATCACCTCAGAGATTCTGTTTTCATTAGTATGGAGTGGGACACGGACATGGTAGACCTGTCCAGGTGATTCTGACGAGCAGCCAGTGTGGAGAACCACTGGGAATGATGCAATTAATTCTTAGGGAAAGTCGGGCATAGTATGTATCTCCTTGTAGAAGCTTTACTGCTTCTTTGTTTTTTGAGACAGAGTCTCACTTTGTGCCCTGAGTAGAGTACCATGGTGCCCTAGCTTACAGTAACCTCAAACTCTTGGGCTCAAGTAATCATTTTGCCTCAGGCTCCAGAGCAGCTGGGACGACAGGCACCTGCCACAACGCCTGGATAGATTCTCTATTTTTAGCAGAGACAAGGTCTCACTCTTGCTCAGGCTGGTGTCAAACTCCTGAGCTCAGGCAATCCATCCACTTCCCAGAGTGCTGAGATTACAGGTGTGAGCCTCTGTCCCAGCCTAGTCTTACTGCTTCTTATGCAAAAGGTTATGTATATTTGTGTTCAGACAATTTTTTTTTTTTCATTTAAAGCCTGGCCATTTACTCAGAGTGGGAATGAGACTCCCTAGGCTGGTCTCATTATTCAGGCTTTGGATTGGCTCACAGAGTCCCCGGCACCATGAGCACAGGATACAGTGCCCCCCACCTTTGGCCAGCCTTCCTCTGTGGGGCTGTATGTCAGGCGGGGGATTTTCCAGGTGTAAAACCTTGTTTATGTCCTGTTTGTCAGTTGTTTTACCTGTATACTTGTCACTTTTTTATATAAAACTATCATTTAGTCTATTTTCTGAAAAAATATATGAAATGTTGGTCCTATGCCTGGATAAATTATCAAAGCTCTATCCCATCTCTCTCCTGCCTCAGTCCTAGCCTTATTTTTCTGTTTGCCATCCACCCACACATTGAGGACGTATATGCTGAGGACAGGTTACATTCCGGGCATGGTGCTAGGCACAGGCGAGGCTTTATAGGGACAACGGTGAACTGTGTGCTTCACTCCCAGTCCTCACAGCACATAATCATTTTCTCTATTCATATCAGACTAGAACCTTGCCAGCAGCTTGGTTTTGGAAATTTAGTTAAGCAGGTATGTATCAACATTTTTTTAAGTGCCCTTCTGGTGTACATCAATTTGAACCATCACAAAATACCATGTAGGGTATGCACTACCCTAATATCTTTTTCAGTAACTGCTGATGAACATTAATTCCATCTCCCAGCTCTTAGTATTTTATCCCAGCTCCCATTTTGAGCTTCAGTCATTGAGGGCTCCACCAGTTCACTGGCTGCTCTCTTTTCTTGAAGAGACTCCCTCTGCCTCATCTAACCCCGTGCTCCTTGATATCACTGAGATCAGTACATACTGAAACACTCACAATCCCATATGATTGATAAAGCAATGTCTCAACAGCCCCCCTGGTGTTCTCCCACGTCATATTTCCATAGAGACGTGAGTTTTCTAGCATTTTCCTTACTCCACGCATTCACCCATATCTCAGCTTTCAGCCACATTTTACCTCTAGCTGTGTAGCCATTTTCCATAAAGAGACCAGTCTGCTTCCCTTTCTGAGAGCCACAAATGTGTGCCCACTGCAGTGCAGAGGCCAGTCAGGGTGGCCTGGCTGCGGGTGCTGAGGGTCTGACCGGGCTCATTCACTGGCCACAGCCCTATCCCAGCCCCATCTTCCACGCACAGCTTGTGTCGTGAACATTCATTCCTACCTGAGTACATAAAACCTGACTACTGAATTCAGGGATGATCAGAGGCTACTCTGTAGGATCCCCCATTTTTAATAAAGATACTTTGGGGGTAATTTCCTACTTAATTTGCCCTTATTTTACTAATCAGCAGGCCCTAGGATTCCCAAGGTACTGGTCTTTTTGATCTACAATAAACATCTGTTTTTCTGGGCTGTATACAAGTTTATTTTAAAACATTTATTTAGTCTATTTAATTTTGTCCCTACTAATACTACTCTTTACACAATTTCTTCCTCTATAATTGCATAATATTGGGATAGACTATTTTGGCTTTTCCCATTCAGTTAGACATGGTGGATTGGTGGGAGGGGAAAGTGTGTTCCTAAAATAAATGTCTGTACCTGCCAGGGCATGCCTGCAAGGAGTGTGTAGGGGAGTTAAAACTTATTTAGCACCTAATATGCGCCAGCGATTATGCTGTCTCAGAGCCGCTGAAGCAGGCAAGATTTTAAAGGCAGAATAACATTGCTGAGGGCTGAGACAAAGTTCCCCTGGGGTAGGATAAGAAGTAAAAAGATACGTGATAGAAAAACTGTGGGTTGAGTAGCCATATGATTAGAAATAGATCAGAGAAGCTACAGGAAACCCAGAAAGAAAGAGACTCACTGACCAGCTACAGATGAGAAGAAAGGCAACTTGCAGCCATTGGAGATGACTGTCCTCAGAGAGAGAGAGAGCAAGAGAGAGAGCAGGAGAAGATACACACTGAGGAGGTCCTCTGACGCACGCAGCAAAGCATATATCGAAGGCCAGCCCCATCACAGCGTCCACACACAGTGCACAGGGCACATGGGCGGACAAGGCCTTGCTTCTTTAAGGCCCAGGAAAGCTCAGAGAGGGGCTGGCTCAGAACAGAGGCCATAGCTGCGACATGAGGCTCAGGTGAATGGTTTATTAAAAGCATATCTGGGTGGTAGGTGTGCTGGGGACCCAGTACAGACTCTTGCATTCTCCTCCCATCCCCAGCATTCCCCAGGTGCTGACCACAGAAACGTCTGGTGCCTGCAACTGCCACTGAGTCAGCCTCAAGGACACCAGAGAGCAGGAAGACAGAAAGCTTGGGGGGGGGGGACCCTGTGCCATCACCTTGGGAATCAGAAGGACACCAAGGTGCTGCTGCACCAGCCCCTGTTTGTTGCTGAGAACCCAGAGCAGTAGCTTTCCCTTCTTTGTAGACTTTACAATTGCCTGGTCCAGGAAACTGTCTCTTGTCCTCTCCCAGAGCTAACTTTCCACCTTTCTTCCCAGTGTGAGGTCCCACGCAGTTCTGCTGGGCCTCGTGTAGCAGGTGCCCCCACATGGCTGAGCGCCTGCCTACCTGTCTCACTGTCAGGGACAGGTGCCCTTCCAAAGAAGGTGCTGTTCATAGGTCTATGGTTAGGGATGGAGTTTCTGCCCACAAAGGCTCTATCGAGCTGTCTCTGGAGCTGTTTTTCCCCTGTCATTGTTTGTGGTCTTCCTTGGATAGGAGGCTGCCTGCCCCTGTCCCCCTCCAAACAGGCACAGACACCCGTTCTGAGCTTTCCTTGCAAAGCAGGGGAAGGAAAAGAGAGAGGTTCCCCAGCCAGGGGATGATTTGTCTTGTTCCATCCAGATCAGAGTCTCTAAATGTTGAAAAGACCTCTGAGAAGGAGCCCACCAGGCAGGAACCCATTTCAGAGGCAGGGAGAGCTAGCCGGCCGGCCGGGGGCAGGCTGCAGACAAGCAACCAGCTTCCTGCTGCTCCCCGAGGCCCTCAATTCCTTTAATGCGGCCAAGCTTTTCATCCCACACCTAGAGAAAAGGCCCTTGGGAGATGAAAGTCCAGGCAGAAGCAAGCATGCAGATACAAATGAGGGATACCCAGTCCTTCCCTGACGGCAAACCTTGCTCTTGGGGGTCTGAGACCTCGGGCGCTGGAAGGTGGGTTTCATCTAAACTGAACCCCTTTGAAAACCAGCTTTTATACCACAGTCAAGACCCCTGAAAAGAAATACCACCATTTCGTGGATTTAGGCATACCTTAAAAAGAAACATGTGCTCATGTGAAAACCCAGCCCAAATGCATCTTTCAAAGTTAGAGTTTCCCACACCAGGTTGCCTCAGGCACGGACCCTCTATGAAGATCAGCAAGACTGCCTTGCAAGGCTTCACACCAAGAGAAAATGGTACTCTCTCCCAAAATATACACGGCCATACTCAGGAGCGAGCAAATAAGAACAGCTCCCTAACCAACTGCATTTCTCTAAAAAAGGATGAGATCTCAGGGCCGGCTTTTTCTCCAGTAACTTAAGGGAAGGTAGGGATTTGGGGGGATTTCCAGACTAAATGTCTGGAAATCTTATTCTTGTGGGTTCTAGTGATGCCAAATAAATGTCCTTGATGTCACATGACCTCCTGCTTGCTGACAGAGGCTGTGGAACGCAAGGAATTTGCTAATCTTCTCCTGGCAGGGTGCGGACTCTAGAAACAAAGATGTTGCAGCCAAATCAACTTGGAGTTTCTGAGATTCTCAGGAAAGCCAGAGGGGTCAGGTCCTCAGGGACGGGGCGGGCCCTCACCCTGGTGTTGGGCTTCCTCCCTCTCCCTCGGCCTCCCTGCCCATTCTCTGTCCCTCAGCCTCCTCCTTCCTCGCCTCTGAGCAGCACTTCCTGCCTGTGGGCAAAGGCGAAGCAAGGCAAAGAACGAGGGGCTTGTGCAGCTGGCAACCTTCTGTTTCTGTCCTGATTTCTGACACGAAGAGATGCCACCTACATTCAGGTGCCTCCCTGGGTATGTCACATGTTTCTAGGGATCCCTGAACAGAACCAGCACCGTTCCATCATTTCTGCTGACACCCCACCACCCCCAATTCAGTGTTGGACTCTCTATGGATTCCCAGGCGGGCCTGTCAGGAGGAGGCAGTCATTTGTTGATAGGAACAAATAAGTGACCCCGGCAGACTGAGCCTTTTGGGCAGTGCAGGACTCACCTTTTCAGCTATCAGGAAGTCATAGCGAAGGGCCTCGCGGGTGCAGATGGCGCCAAGCAGGAAGACGAAGACAATGTACAAAAACCACCTGCAAAGCCCAAGACAGAGCAGCGCTGGCCCAGCCCCGCCCCCTCTCCCTGGGGTTTCCTCTGGGAACTGCCTCAAAACTAAAGAGAAAGGCCAGTCATAAGCCTCCCTTCCTGGCGTGGGAAGTTGCTTTTTATACTATTTCTCCTCTAGCATATTTCTTTCAAAAAAAAGATATTGTTTTGTCTCTTTCTTATATTAAAGAAAAAAATATATACAAAGGGTGTTGGGCATGGGGAAGTGGGAGGCCCAGCACCCCAGGCAGCTAGGATGCCGCCAGGGTGGATCTGCAGCTCCGCTCCGTCCTCTCCCAGCAGAAGAACCAGTCCCCAGGTCTCCAGGTCTGCTGGTGTTTGGGTCACAGGGGATAGAGAGCCACAGCAAAAGGAAGAGCAGTGGCCTCGCTCTTCACCACATCCTTCCGGTCTCTTCCTTCCCATCTGGGCACAAGAGGATGGGCAAAAGGTTCTTTTCGGGAACAAGATGGGGCTCTCAGCCTGAACCTTCTTTTCTTTCCTTCCTAACATTCAACTCTGTCTCTGTTGCCTTCCTTTTTTCCCCCAATGCTATTGATTTATTTTGTATGAAAAAGCCTGGTGCTGCGTGCCTGGCTGGTAGCAACGGTGCCATTGCAATAAGCTAAGGACCAATTCAGCATTCATGAAACAGACATTAATATTTTTTAGATGTCACAGAATAATACAGGCACGCAACTGCTCAAGTCATTGTCATGTGTATGATCTAAATGTCTCTTCACACTAATCCAGTGATGGGCAGAGAAGCTTCTTCCATGGTATAGAAAGAAAAACAGAAGATTCTAGAAGGTCAGAAATAACCCCAAGGCTGCCTTGCCTGCCAGTGTGGATGGCACAATGTGAGCCTTGGGGAAGGTCAGCTGGGGGAGCAGGGCCAGTCTCTGAGCTTTGCTACATGTCTCTACACACAGTGCCTCCTCCACAGTCTAGGAAGCACACACATCATCATGGTCCTCATGTTATAGAACGGGAAATGGAGGCCCATAGAACTAAATAAATTGTCCAAAGTCACACAGCTCATCAGCAGCAGAGCAGGGATGCAAACCTTCAGCCCTCTGATTGCAAAACTTTTCACGCCGTTATTCTCCCGCCAATGATCTTGGAAACACAATGGTTAAAAAATCCCCAGTTCAAAATCAGGGTGGGGAGGAAGGGGGCAGGAGGCTGAGGAAGAAGGAAAAAAAGGGTTGGGTCTGTATTCTGTGATAATGACACTCCTCCTCGGCAGTATTCCCAGGCAGAGCTATGAAAGGGTAACGTCTGAACCCACCAGACGTGAATTTTCCAGCCCACCGAGCGTTAAAGGGAGGATCAGAATATGAAATAAGTTGGTCACAGTCGGGGCACTCTCAGAACAAAAGAGGCAATCCCCTCTTGCCTGGGGTTTTTCCCTCCCACTCTCCAGCTCAGACTGATTGCCATGAAGGAACTTACGAGATGCCAACAGCTGCTAGGGAGCCCAGGGGGATGCTGGTGGAGGGCTCTCTGAGGTCGCCCCCCATGTTGAAGCCGGCCATGACTCCTGAAAGATACCCAGACAGGGTGATGCAGAGCAGTGGACTGCACAGGTCACCTCCTCCAGGGCTGCCCCTTCCCCTCTGGGTGGTGGTGGGGGCTCTCCTGGAAACTATCCCACATCACCCCTCCCAGAACCCTTCCATGGGCAGCTCTGCAAACCGGCTGCTTTTTGATCTCCCCTGGCAACTGGGGAGGCGTCCCTGTAGCCCTGAAAGGGAGCTTTGTGGGTCGGGTGATGTTCGAGAAGAAAGCCCTTCCAGCTCCAAAAGCATCTCACTGCTCTGTGCAAAGTAACTAGGATGAGGAAGGCATCTTGCAAGCCACACAAAAGTCCTGACACCACCTGCTGAGCACTGCCTTCCCAGCTGGGACCATGTCCTGCAGAGACTCAGCATTACTATCCCTGTCTTTGCTGCCTGCTGATTCCATCTGGGCTTCAAGTGTCCTTGCGGTCAGGTACCAACCACTCGCAAAGCTCCTGAGCTCCAAAGAGTTCTAAATAAACAATCCTGATGCCACCAAAATTGAGTCACAGCTCCTTTTTATCCTCACCTCTATTCTCCAAGAACACTAATGAAAATGAATTAATCCTTGGTGGTGAGGAACCAACCAGCGCTGGACGATGAGGAGGGAAATGTTGCCTCTTCCTGTACATATGAATAAATGAAAGCAACAGGACAATGTGCCCTGAACACCAAATGAGGGTCCAGCCCATGCTGGGGGTCTAACAACTCAATGTGATGGACTGACCTGGCTTCACAAAGGTGATAAATCGCCAATGCAGCCTTGAAAGAGGGATTGAATGGGCTCAGGGATGGGAATGCATCTAACACCATAATTGAGGAATACTTTCAACCTGTCAAGGCCTGTGTTAAGTGCTTTATGTAATTTTTTATCTTGTTTAATCCTTTCTTTTATTTTTATTAAATCATAGCTGTGTAGATTAATGCAATTGTGGCATATAACGTGCTGGTTTTATATGTAATTCGAAATACTTTCATCAGACTGGTTAACATAGCCTTCACCACATTTTCTTAGTTATTGTGTTAAGACATTTATATTCTACACTTAGTAGATTTAACATGTACCCTTGTAAAATGCACCATAGGTGTGGTCCCACCAATTACCCTCTCTCCACCCATCCTCCCCCCTCCCCTCCCCTCCCTCTCCTCTTTCCCCTTCATCTTGGGCTGTAATTGGGTTATAGCATTCATATAGAAGTGTGGGTGTTTATAAATTGGTTTCATATTAGGGTTCTATAAAGAGAACTATGAAACTCTGAGAAAAGAAATAGCTGAAGATGTTAACAAATGGAAAAACATACCATGCTCATGGCTGGGAAGAATCAACGTTGTTAAAATGTCCGTACTACCCAAAGCAATATACAATTTTTTTTTTTTTTTTGAGACGGAACCTCAAGCTATCCCCCTGGGTAGAGTGCCATGGCATCACGCTCACAGCAACCTCCAACTCCTGGGCTCAAGCGAGTCTCCTGCCTCAGCCTCCCAAGTAGCTGGGACTACAGGCGCCCGCCACAACGCCTGGCCATTTTTTGGTTGCAGCCATCACTGTTGTTTGGCGGGCCGGGGCTGGGGATTTGAACCCGCCACCTTAGGTGTATGTGGCTGGCGCCTTAGCTGCTTGAGCCACAGGCGCAATATACAATTTTAATGCAATCCCTATTAAAGCACAACTGTCATACTTTAAAGACCTCAAAAAAATAACACTTTGTTTTGTATGGAATCAGGAAAAAACCTTGAATAGCCAAGACATTACACGGAAATAAAAACAAATCAGGAGGAATCATGCTACCAGACCTCAGACTATACTATAAATCAACAGTGATCAAAACAGCATGATACTGGCACAAAAACAGAGAGGTAGATGTATGGAACAGAATAGAGAACCAAGAGATGAGCCAAGCTACTTACTGTCACTTGATTTTTGATAAGCCAATCAAAAATATTCAGTGAGGAAAAGACTCCCTATTTAACAAATAGTGCTAATCAAAGACTAACCAAAGCTAGACTCTCACTGGATAAAAGATTTAAACTTAAGACATGAAACTATAAAAATACTAGAAGAAAGTACAGGAAAAACACTTGAAGAAATCGGCCTGGAAGAATATTTTATGAGGAGGACACCCCGGGCAATTGAAGCAACACCAAAAATACATTACTGAGATCTGGTCAAACTAAAACACTTCTGCACAGCCAAGAACACAATACATTAAGCAAGCAGACAGTCCTCAGAATAGGAAAAGATATTTGCAGGTTATGTCTCTGACAAAGGTTTAATAACTAGAAGCCACAGAGAACTTGAACATATTAGCAAGAAAAGAACAAGTAATCCCATCTCAGGGTGGGCAAAGGACTTGAAGAGAAACATCTCTGAAGAAGACAGGTGCATGGCCTACAGACACATGAAAAAATGCTCATCATCCTTAATCATCAGAGAAATGCAAATCAAAACTACTTGAGATATCATCTAACTCCAGTGAGATTAGCCCACATCATAAAATCCCATAACCATAGATTATGGTTGGATGTGGAGAAAAGGGAACACTTCTGCACTGCTGGTGGGAATGCAAACTAGTACGTTCCTTTTGGAAAGAAGTTTGGAGATCACTTATGGATCTAAAGATATACCTACCGTTCAATCCTTCAATTCCTCTATGAGGTATATATCCAGAAGACCAAAAATCACTTTATAACAAAGATATTTGTACCAGAATTTTTATTGCAGCCCAATTCATAATTGCTAAGTCATGGAAGAAGCCCAAGTGCCCATCAACCCATGAATGGATTAATAAATTGTGGTCTATGTACACCATGGAATATTACACAGCCTTAAAAAAGATGGAGACTTTATCTCTTTTATGTTTACATGGATGGAGCTGGAACATTCTTCTTAGCAAAGTATCTCAAGAATGGAAGAAAAGGTATCCAGTGTTATCTTGTTTAATTCTTACAACAACCATATTAGAAAAGTAGAATTATTTCCCTATTTTATAGAAAAGTGCTTAAAGAAGTTAATTAAAATAGCCTAAGATCACTAAGTAAGTGGCAAAGGTAGAATTCAACCCTGGTATTTAGTCTCCTTAAGTTATGCTTTTAATGCTTAGGCTATAATGCTTCAGGGAACCCAAGTGAAGTGGAGTGAAATGAAAGTTTGGGGCAAGAAAGTTACAATGGAGCTATCTCTAAGCAAACCCTGAATGTTGGACCAAGAATGGGGTCTGCATATACTTTAAGGCAGCAATTCCACTCCCAGAATTTAACCCAAAGCAAATAGCCAAGAATACAATTAAATGTTTACAAATGCTTATTAATGGTAGTAAAAATTAGAAACCACCTAAGGGCTAAAAATAAGGGATTGTCTAAATAAGTGATGAAATATCTTTCAAAAAATACAATGCCTCAGAATATTGTCAGGGATAATATTTAAAAATTATTGTTGGGCTCAACACAGGTTATTGAAACCCTGGGGAAAGTGAAACAAGAAAGTTAATGGCTTAATTTGAAGCAAACTGAAAGGTGACAGGATTTTAAACAACTAATAAAATTAAGAAAAATTAATTCATTTGACTATTATATTAGGAATATTCTCTCCTAAATGGCACAAAGACTGTATTAGAATCACAATGAAAAACAAGGAGTTCTAGACCCCTTACTTTGCTCTGCAGTGCTGTAATCCTAGCACACTGGAAGGCTCGAGTGGGAGGATCCCTTGAGTTCAGGAGGTCAAGACCAGCCTGAACAAGAGCAAGACCCCATCTCTACTAAGAAGAGAAAAATTATACAGGCATTGTGGCAGGTGCCTGTAGTCCCATCTACTTAGGAGGCTGAGGCAAGAGGATGGCTTGAGCCCAGGAGTCTGAAGTTGCTGTGAGCTACGCTGATGCCACTGCACTCTAACCCAGGCAACAGAGTAAGTAAACAATATATGGGATGATCCTGTTGTAAAAAAAATGCAGATGTGTAGAAAAAGGGACGGGAACATATTTTAAAACATCAATAATGGTATTTCTGGGTGATAGAAGAACAGATTTTTTTTTTATTGTTTACTTCTCAATTTTCCAAAATGGTCATTTTGAAACATGAGAAAACTAACTTTTAAATAGTTTTTTACTTAAAATGGCATATTAGGCAATTTTCTTTCTTCTCATTCCTTCTCTCCAAGATGTTATTAAAAAGGTAGTAGAAATAAATAAATACCTAGAAGTGTAGAAAATTTGAGAGGGGAGCCCTAAGTAGATGAGAGTTTTCCATAAATGTCTGAAACATGGAAAATGGAGAAAATGATACAGAGTGAAAGGGAGGAAAAGAAAGGCTTGGAATGCTTCTTCAGACATCTGAATACCCTGCCTGAGAAAAACTAGGACTGTTAGTGTGGATATTTGCACCCAATTGAAGCCCTGCTCAAAAATCAATCGCACTCACAAATGCTTCCCATCAAGAAAGGGCCCCAGCAGGGAAACAGACTTAAATACACTTAGCAGGGGAAACCCACACCAGGGACCAAGAGTCATCAGATGTGTGATGAAAACTGGCAACAAATAAACAAGTACATGCATAAATAGAAATGGAATAACCCTGGTGGGAAGAAACATACAGATTGAGATACAGAAGAGAATTCTGAAGAAAACACTAATTAATAGCATCAGATACATCCAAGAATAATATCTATAAAACAAGATGCTATTAAAAGCAAATTCCAAGAGCAAGAAATAACTTTTGGAAATTAAAAATACAATCACTGAAATTAAAAATGCAATAGATCTGAAAAGCAAAGGTTAAGTAAATATCTTAGTATTTAGAACAGAAAAATAAAGAGACAGAAAATTTGAGTGAAATAGAGGAGAAATATTGGAGTTACAACAATGAACTAATGAGAGAGCCAGAAAGAGAAGAGAGAAAAGAAAATAACCAGATAAGTAACAGAAAGAAATTTTCCCCAAACTGAAGACACAAGTTTACAGATTGAATTATCCCACTGAGTAAC